ATGCTTGAGCCCCAGCACCTCTACCATTACAAATTAAGCAGTGGTTTTGGTTATATTGCAGGGAGATCCCAACACACCACCAGCCCCGTATCTTCCCCCACAAATGTATGTCCCATACTGCCCAGCCCTTTCCTGGACCGTACAAATATATTAAGTCCATTACACCTTTAATGGAATAACATGCCAACTCCTTACCTTAAATAGCTACCCAGACACTTCAACTTAAACACACTGCGTAAGAGTCAACAGTAAAACAAGTTTATTAACTACAAAGAGATGTATTTTAAGTGAGTTCAAGTAATGATGCATAAAAGTCAGAAATGGTTAGAAGAAAAATAAAAATTTAAAACACGTACTAATATCTACTTAAGACACTATTTTAGTTGCAAAGCAAACTTTCTCACCACATGCTTTAGCAGATTACTGACCAGACTATCAAGTCAAGACTCCTTCCCCTGAGTCCAACAGCTGTTTCCTTTTGTCGTCTCAGGTGCAGAGAATGAGATTCACAGGGGAAGCAAGAGAAGTGGGGTTGTTTGTCTGTCGTTTTTATAGCAAGTAGTGGGGGTTTGCCCATTAGTAAGTGGAGAATAAATAAAGATGATAACAAAGGCAAAGATGAATTTAGAGTTGGTAACTTGACTGAGATTTTCCAGACTTTCTGCAGATCAGGGTTTTCTAAGCTGCAATATACTCGAGATCAGTGGTTCTCAACTGGGGTCCACAGACCCCGGGGGGGTCCGTGAGCCCTTCAGGGGGCTGTGGAGCCCCGTGGCTGAAACCTGGTGCCCCAAGCCCCAGCACTTCCGCAAATAGAAGTAAATCTATGCCTATGCCCAAGGGTCCCCCCGCCAGCCCGGAACCCTGAGTTCCCCTCCTGCCCTCACTGGGCCCTGGTGTTTTTACACCATGCTGAGGGGGGCCTCAGCAAGAAAAAGGTTGAGAACCCCTGCTCTAATTACTGACTTTCAAACTTTATTTTTAGGTAACTAGAGTCTTGTAAATTAGTGGTCTATTTACAATTTTAACATAAACAAGGTTTGCATTTCTTCCCAGCTCTCTGCAACAGCAATCAGCTTTTCAGAATGACTGAAAAATTCCCTGCATGGCCCTCAGAACAAAGATCTGAAACTGGCTATCAATGCCCAGAGAACACAACTATTAAAATAGAACAAGCACTTTTAAAATGAAACCTTACCAGTGTCACTCTCTGCTCCCCCATCCCACAGACAATCCCCACCTCTATATATACTATTGTAGGCTATTGCCCACCACCTACCCTCCCCTTCCACTCTCTTCTACCTGAAGATTCTCCTCACCCTCCCGCTTCTTTCTCCTTGCTCTGCAGATGGTGTGCCGCCCCCACCCAGCCCCCATCACTTCCTCTTTGGTGGGTTGCTCGCAGCTCATCCTTCCTCCCCCACTACTTCACCTACCGCTTCCCAACCAATCACCGGGGCTCTCACTCCACAAGCCTTTCTTTCCTCTTCCCAAGGGGTCTCCGGCTTCCTTCCTCCTCTGGATCTGTAGACAGTGTGAAAAAGCCAGAGCTAGGTAGAGAGATCTCTGGATTTACATGGATGTCTACATTCTAGTAGTTGTGCATTTTGTCCCAACAAAATTATGTGCTGCAACACAAATATGTGATACAACACAGAAGGTTATGCAGCATATTTTAATCCAGTGAGGATACTAGAATTACATTGTGCACAGTGATACAAGAAGGTTTAATGTAGTTAAATACAGCATGCACACAGCACAAAACATACTCAAATATTTGATATCTTCACAGCCCCAGCACATACAGAAACCAAGCCATAAGGAAAAAGCTACAATCAATGAAGTAAAGATCTCAAATCAAATTAAATATTCCACCAGCAGAGGCCAGATCAGCAATCATGATTGTGGATCTAGGGTTCTAGGCCCATCATTAGAAAAACTAAGCTGCATGGTGATGACACGAATATTGCTACCTGCCTACACTCCTGCTGGACTGACTTTGGGATTGGAGGACCAACCTTTATTTCAATGAACCCCATCGCTTTTGGCTTGTGATGCTTGAGGGGGGAAGAACGTGGATTTCATTATATCCTCTCTTTTTGTCTCGGATGTGTTATTCAACATTAGTAAGGATGGCAGACCTGTTTTATTTGCATTATTTTTTTTTTGGTACCTGGAATAACATTTCTCTTCTATTTCTCCCCAGGACCAAGAAATGATAGTGGTTTGGGTTCAGTAAGCCAATGTCCCTCCAGGTTTGTCAAGACACTCATTCGAAAGACTAAATATAGTCAAATAGAATAGTCTCCACAATGCAAGCCTGGAACTCATGTCCTTACCTGTTTAAATCTACAGCATGTTCATTATCACCACCCTCAACAATAGCCATGAAATTATTCGCAAAAAGAAAAGGAGTACTTGTGGCACCTTAGAGACTAATAAATTGGTTAGTCTCTAAGGTGCCACAAGTACTCCTTTTCTTTTTGCGAATACAGACTAACACGGCTGTTACTCTGAAACATGAAATTATTATCATTCTCCAGCATGAGCTCCTCATTCAATTAGGGTATGTCTACACGGCAAAGAAAAACCCACAGCTGGCTGACTTGGAGTTACAGGGCTCAGAACACAGACCCCGACTTTTCAAAGTGCCGAGGGGTGTTCGACCCCCCAGCTCTGCCCCAGGCCCTGCCCACACTCCACCCCTTCCCCCAAGGCCCCACCCAGACCCCGCCTCTTCCTGTCCCCACTCCACCCCTGCCCCACCTCCTCCCACCCAGCCCTACCTCCTCCCCCAAGCATACTGCATCCTTGCTCCTCCCCCCCTCTTCCAATCTCTTGCACGCCGCAAAAGAGCTGATTGCGGTGGGCGGGAGGTGCAGGGTGGGAGTGGGAAGCGCTGATCCACAGGGCTCGCCGGCAGGCGGGAGGCGCTGGGGGTTTGGGGAGGAGCTGATACAGGGGCTGCCGGTGGGTGCTTAGCACCCACCATTTTTTCTCAGTGAGTGCTCCAGCCCCGGAGCACCCACAGAGTTGGCGCTGATGGCTCAGGCTGCGGGGAGGCTGTTTCTACTCTGTTGTGTAGACTTCCGGGGTTCGTTCTGGAGCCCAAGCTCTGGGACCTCGCTGGTCCAATAGCCCTGGTTCCAGCCTGAGCCCAGATATCTACACACAGAAGTGATACAGCCCTAGCCCGGCAAGCCCGAGTCACCTGGCACGGGCCAGCTGCAGGTGTGAAGTTGCTGTGTAGACATACTCTTAGATATTCCAAAGGCAGGCCACACTGAGGAACATGCAAGCAGCAAGAACTCTTAAGCACACCTTCTCAGTCTTCATCTGCAGCTTGCCACCAGTGTAGTGCAAATTATGGGAAATGCATCATTAAGGCGCAGAATTTTCCTCTCATAAGAACGGCCACACTGGGTCAGACCAAAGGTCCATCAACCCCAGTATCCTGTCTTCTGACAGTGGCCAATGGCAGGTGCCCCAAAGGGAATGAACAGACAGGTTATCATCAAGTGATCTATGCCCTGTCACCCAATCCCAGCTTCTGGCAAACAGAGGTTAGGGACACCATTCCTGCCCATCCTGGCTAATAGATCCATCAGTGGCTATCTTCCATGAATCTATCTAGCTCCCTTTTGAACCCCATTATAGTACTGGCCTTCACAACACCCTCTGGCAAGGCGTTCCAGAGGTTGACAGTACCTTGCATGAAAAAATACTTTGTGTTTGTTTTAAACCTGCTACCTATTAATTTCATTTGTTGGCCCCTTTTTCTTGTATTATGAGGAGTAAATAACACTTCCTTATTTACTTTCTCTATACCACTCATGATTTTATAGCCCTCTCTCAATCCCCCCTTAGTTGCCTCTTTTCCAAGCTGAAAAGTCCCAGTTTTATTAATCTTGCCTCATATGGAAGCCGTTCTATATCCCAATCATTTTTGTTGCCCTTTTTTGAACTTTTCCAATTCCAATATATCTTCTTTGAGATGAGGCAACCACATCTACACACAGTATTCAAGGTGTGGGCTTACCATAGATTTATATAGAGGCAATATGATACTTTCTGTCTTATTATCTATCCCTTTCTGGATGATTCCCAACATTCTGTTTGCTTTTTTGATTGCCGCTGCACGAGTGGATGATTTCAGAGAACTATCCACAAGGACTCCAAGATCTCTTTCTTGCCTGGTAACAGCTAATTTAGACCCCATCATTATATATGTATAGTTAACATTATGTTTTCCAATGTGCATTACTTTGCATTTATCAACATTAAATTTCATCTGCCATTTTGTTGCATTTTGTTGAGAGGAGGAGGGGCCCATTTCATAATCCCAAGGTCTGCCGCGCCTGCCACATGGTGGCGCCACTGTGCTCCAGACTGGGTATGGAGCAAGGTGGTTGTGGCTGTGCTCAGTGAGGGGGCAGAGGAAATGTGGCATACGGTGGGGTTGGCATTACTGTGCACAAGGGATGTACCTGGAGAGGATGGGCTCGGGCGGGGCTGTCAGACTCCTGGCTGTGCAGAGGGCAGGGGATACGGGGGGAGGCCGTAGCTGTGCTCACGGCAGAAGATGTACAAGGGCTCCCACGGCTGTGCCCCGGGCAGAGGGCGTGGGGGGGAGTGGGGCTGCCGTGGCTGTGCCCAGGGGAAGCGGAGGGGCTGTCATGGCCGTGCCCGGGGCAGAAGGCGTGTGGGAGGCGGCCACAGCTGCGCCCAGGGCAGGGGATGTGCGTGGCGGGGGCTGCCAGGACTATGCCCAGGACACACGGTGGAGGCGGCCAGGGCCACGCTCGTTCCCTAACGTCGGACTCGCACCCTTATCACCGCTCCACCCTTTAGCCGGGCGGCGCCAGCGCGTGTGTACGGAGAAGAGCTTCGTGGCAGGAAACCCGCCCCCTCCACCGCGGGTCGGAACCACAACCCAACAGGGCCCGCTGCGCGCGCAACCACGTAAGCCGACAGCGCACACGCCGCCCGCGAGCACGAGGTCTCGCGCTGTTTTGGTCTCTCTCCCCGGCTCGCTCCCGTTCTCTCGGCCGCCCTGCTGGGAATCCCCTGAGAGACCCGCAGCTCTCGCGAGATGTAGAGGAGCGCGCGGCCGGCCGAGCGCAGCAGCGGCGGCGCGGGCGCGAGGCTGCGATGGGGCTGCAGGGGGTCAAGGCCGTGTTCTTCGACTTGGACAACACGCTCGTCGACACGGCCGCCGCGGGCCGGCGGGCCATACAGGAGGTACCGGCCCGGGCTGGCTCGGCGCGCAAGGGTGACACCAACAACTCCGGGAGGGGCTGCTCCGCCCCCGCCGCTAGTCCCCCACACCTGGACACGGCAGCCCCTCTTCCCTCCGCCCCCAATCCCCCAGGCACGGCAGCCCTTCTTCCCCCCTCCTCCCTTGGGCACTGCAGCCCCTCTCCCCGCCACCATCCTCCGGGCACGGCAGCCCCTCTCCTCCCCCCTCCCCTCACCCCCGCCGCCATCCCCCGGGCACGGCAGCCCCTCTCCCCTCCCCTCATCCCCCCGCCGCCATCCCCCGGGCACGGCAGCCCCTCTCCCCTCCCCTCATCCCCCCCGCCGCCATCCCCCGGGCACGGCAGCCCCCCTCCCCTCATCCCCCCCCCGCCATCCCCCGGGCACGGCAGCCCCTCTCCCCTCCCCTCATCCCCCCCGCCGCCATCCTCCGGGCACGGCAGCCCCTCTCCCCTCCCCTCATCCCCCCGCCGCCATCCTCCGGGCACGGCAGCCCCTCTCCCCTCCCCTCATCCCCCCCGCCGCCATCCCCGGGCACGGCAGCCCCCCTCCCCTCCCCCTCACCCCCCCGCCACCATCCCCCGGGCACGGCAGCCCCCCTCCCCTCCCCCCCCGCCGCCACCCCCCGGGCACGGCAGCCCCCTCCCCTCCCCCCGCGCCGCCATCCCCCGGGCACGGCAGCCCCTCTCCTCCCCCCCCCCTCCCCGCCGCCATCCTCCGGGCACGGCAGCCCCTCTCCTCCCCCCTCCCCCATCCCCCCCGCCGCCATCCTCCGGGCACGGCAGCCCCTCTCCCTCCCCCTCCTCCCCCCCGCCGCCATCCCCCGGGCACGGCAGCCCCTCTCCCCTCCCCTCATCCCCCCGCCGCCATCCCCCGGGCACGGCAGCCCCTCTCCTCCCCCCCCCCGCCGCCATCCCCCGGGCACGGCAGCCCCTCTCCTCCCCCCCCCGCCATCCCCGGCACGGCAGCCCCTCTCCTCCCCCTCCCCTCCCCCGCCGCCATCCTCCGGGCACGGCAGCCCCTCTCCCTCCCCTCATCCCCCGCCCGCCATCCCCCGGGCACGGCAGCCCCCTCCCCTCCCCCTCCCCCCCCGCCGCCATCCCCCGGGCACGGCAGCCCCCTCCCCCTCCCCCCCCCCCCGCCGCCATCCCCCGGGCACGGCAGCCCCTCTCCTCCCCCTCCCCTCCCCGCCGCCATCCTCCGGGCACGGCAGCCCCTCTCCTCCCCCTCCCCTCCCCGCCGCCATCCTCCGGGCACGGCAGCCCCTCTCCTCCCCCTCCCCTCCCCGCCGCCATCCTCCGGGCACGGCAGCCCCTCTCCTCCCCCTCCCCTCCCCGCCGCTATCCTCCGGGCACGGCAGCCCCTCTCCTCCCCCCCCTCCCCCCCCCCCGCCGCCATCCTCCGGGCACGGCAGCCCCTCTCCTCCCCCTCCCCTCACCCCCCCGCCGCCATCCTCCGGGCACGGCAGCCCCCTCCCCTCCCCCTCCCCATCCCCCCCCCCCCCCCCTCCCCCCCCCCGCCGCCATCCCCCGGGCACGGCAGCCCCTCTCCCCTCCCCCTCACCCCCCCGCCGCCATCCTCCGGGCACGGCAGCCCCTCTCCCCTCCCCTCACCCCCCGCCGCCATCCCCCGGGCACGGCAGCCCCTCTCCTCCCCCTCCCCCCCCGCCGCCATCCCCGGGCACGGCAGCCCCTCTCCCCTCCCCTCCCCCCCGCCGCCATCCCCCGGGCACGGCAGCCCCTCTCCCCTCCCCCCGCCGCCATCCCCCGGGCACGGCAGCCCCTCTCCCCTCCCCCCCCCCGCCATCCTCCGGGCACGGCAGCCCCCCTCCCCTCCCCCTCACCCCCCCCCGCCATCCCCCGGGCACGGCAGCCCCTCCCCTCGCCCCCCCCCGCCGCCATCCCCTGGGCAGGGCAGCCCCTCTCCCCTCCCCTCCCCCCCCGCCACCATCCCCCGGGCACGGCAGCCCCTCTCCTCCGCCCTCCCCTCCCCGCCGCCATCCCCCCGGGCACGGCAGCCCCTCTCCTCTCGCCCGCCGCCGCCATCCTCCGGGCACGGCAGCCCCCAAAATTCTACCCTGGGGACAGCGTCATGTGCTGTCCCATAGCCAGCCCCCCCGCCCAGTAAAATTATTAATCCCTTCGTCCTGGGCTCGCTGTAAGGCACTGGCGTTTGCCTTATGGTGGCGGGGGGACACAATCAGTGGTACGTGGCCGAGGGATACCTGACATTACCCGCTCTGGGCGGGTTATGGCTACGTGGCTGTGCAGAAGATTAAGGGGAAATAACAAGTTCGCTTTCAAGCCGAGTGGGCTACCTGGGTCAGAGCACACGGATGGGGGCTGTGTGCCCACTAGGTGGCCCAGGAACGAAGGGGTGGGGAGTAGGCCGAGTGGCGGCTCAGTACTACTGAGCTGACTTGGGAGGTGACTGTAGATCTGCCAGAGCAACGTGGAAGAGGGAGGTGTGTGGAAGAGGGAGGTTCCTGCATGAAGCATTATGCTGCTTGGGGCTATTTCTGGCGAGGGGCAGCTTACACACCATTCCTTGCTTAGGGTTTTCAGTAGTGCCCATCCCTATAATATCTGAGGCCTTACTTTAGTAATCCTAAATAAAGGTTGCATAATGGGGCTTTGTGTGTTACTATTTGTGATTTTGTCGCAGAAATTACAAGGCTCTGAAGTTGCCATCACTTATTGATAGAGTAGTAACCAGTTTCTTCAGAGATTTATAACAGCTTAGACCATGGGTCTGAAAATCACACTATCACACATTCAGCATTAGATTGTGCTAGACCCCGTGGGAGTATGAAGGATTAACCCTCCCACCCCCCCAGGTTTCCCTAATGTGGTCATATTATGTGTATGCTATGCTCAGGGGTGAAGTAATTTACTCTCTCTTGCTCCCTCCCACCTACCCTCTGGTGTTGGAGGAAAGCCAAAGCACAGTACCTTCTGAGGGCTCCTCCTGATGCAGTGGAGCTATGCTTATGGGTTTGTTTTTTTATTAATTCTGTGATACATCACTTCAAATTATGGGCCAGATTCTGCCATCCTTACTAATGTTGAATAATACATTATTCAAGGAGTAACCCAGTTTATTTCAGTGGGACTGCTGTGGAAGAAGGTAATACTTCATGTAAGCCAGGGTGGTAGAATCTGGCCCTTAGTGTGTAATGCTTTATTGTAACCTTCCTTTCCCTTTACATTTGTTAAAGGTAATAAATGTCTTGCAATCAAAACATCAGTGTGATGAAGGAGAAGCTCACATGATTTGTGATAAAGTCCAAGAAAAACTCCTCAAAGAGTGTCATGATCCAGCTAAGGTATGCATTACTGATTTAAGGATCTCACATTGGGAAGAAGCAATACAAGAAACAAAGGGTGGTGAGGCTAATCGAAATCTGGCAGCAGAATGTTATTTCCTGTGGAAAACTACACGCCTCCAGCATCTAACCCTAACAGAGGATACAAGAAGCATGCTTACTGAACTTCGAAAAATGGTCCGCTTGCTTTTATTAACTAATGGAGACAAACAGACTCAGAGGGAGAAGATTGAAGCGTGTGCCTGTCAACCATACTTTGATGCCATTGTTGTGGGAGGAGAACAGAAAGAAGAGAAACCAGCACCATCTATATTTCTTTATTGTTGTGATCTACTAGGAGTACAGCCTTGGGACTGTGTGATGGTTGGTGACTCACTAGACACAGATATTCAAGGAGGCCTGAATGCAGGTTTGAAAGCAACTGTCTGGATAAATAAAACAATGACAATGCCAGTAAACACTTCCCCAGTACCTCATTATATAATTTCTTCTGTTCTTGATCTTCCATCGCTCTTACAGAATATGGACCACAAAATGCATGCTAACTTAGAAACCAATAAGATGGTTAGTATTAATGACGTACATGACCGTGCCAATGTAGAATCGAAGAATTTCTAAGTCCTTAGCCTGCTAATGTTTTTGTTGAAAGTTTGGCCCTAAAATCTTACACATGTAAACATGTTTACTCACACATCCACTGTTTGAGTAAGAGTATATTTATGAGTGGAGTTCAGTAGAAGAAAAGTATTAAATTGAATCTTGTTATTGATTGAAATTTTTGGAAAAGAAATGAAGCATAAGTGCAATTATCTTAAATTTATGCTCTACTTCTGGAAATTACTGAGAGACTTTTTAGTATAGGTCAGAGACAACCATGCTTATCAGTCTTTTGCTTTTGCAATGAAAAAGGAAAAACTCCATGGTTTTGATTTTCATTTTGGTTTGCTGGCTTACATATTTAGCAGGAATTTCAGTCATAAAAGATTGTGGTGTATAAAACAGTAGAAGGTGGAAGAGAGAATATGGTAGAATTCTAGGTTCTTCACAGTCTAATCTATAGATTTCTCAGTAAGGATTAAAATGAATTTCCCCATTTGAAAAAGTGATTGGATCTAGTACATAAAGCAGCCCTTTCTAAAATTTTTGACTTTGCTTTTTGAGCAAACTTATTGACTTTAATTTTGGAAGCTAGTGACTATTTTCACAAATTTCGCAGAGACTGTTCTTAGATAAGACCCAAATCCCTGTCAGAAAAATACATATATGTACACTTCAAAGCTTGCATATGTATAGGGGACCATTCATCAGCAGGGCTTTGTGGATAGAGTTTTGTTTTAATCACATACATGTGTCTGCACTAAAACAGTATTTGTAATGCAGATTATGATTTACATTGCACTGTATTGTGAGTTAACTGATTTTTTTGGACATTTGCAATGTTCTTTGCTCAGTTTTGTCTAATATTCTTAAAGCTTATGCAATTGTTCTGTTTGGTTTTATTAGTGAATTTTGATCAAACTTTGGTCTTGTTGGCTCAGGAAGGTGCAGGGGTCTACCCACTTGGAGCCAGTTACAGGATTGGAGCCTTTCTGACTACTAATTCCATTGCTGTAAAACCTTTCCAAATTCTAGCTTCTACATGTACTTCATCGTACTCACTTTGAAAAATTGTGTACTACTAAAAAAATAAGTGGTTTGCATGACTTTTCCAGGAACTTGAATTCCAGTATAGGATGTAATACTGGATAAACAGCTTCACGCTGTACACTATTGACACTGGATTTAGAAGATTACCCTGTTTATGCCGTATTATAACACTACTCTTCCTCCACAAATTTATTTAATTTTGCTGTACTTAATTTCCCTCCTTACGAAACACCTCTTTTTTAAAGAATGTAACTTCTCACACTTCAAAAATATGAACTTTTGGGAGTATCACATTTTAATTTTCATATTTTTAGAAATTAGGATTAATACATTTATTGGAAGCATTGCACATTAACACCCATGCCTGTGTTTACACTAGGTCAAATATCTGTCATTATGTGATGGATCACAAATGTCATGTTTTAAAAAATGATCATCACAATTGATAGTTATACTTTGGATATGTTTGCGAGTTAGGATAAAAACATTTCAGACTTGGAGAGTCACAGAACACCATAAAGCAAGGAAACCTACCAGAAGGTGTAGAAGGACATGTCTACATGAGAACACTGCATCAGTCGAACCTAAGGTTTAAATTTAAACCTATTTTAAACTTGTGCAGTGCCCTGTATAGACTTATTTTGGTTTAAATGAGGCTTTTTTGGTTTAACTTAAATTGATTGGTAACAGAGGAAAGCTAAATCAAAATGTCATCCCTAAACTGAAATAAGTGTCTGTGAAGGATTTTGCACTTTAAATTGATTTGTAAAAGAAAAGTTAAACCAGTTCAATTTCTTCATTTAGACAGTGCTAAGGAAGGACCTCAAGGAGCAAACTGCCAGAGCCATACAGAACAATCAGTTAAGGAAAAGCCTGCACCACCTAAGTCTTTAACATAGTTATGAGCAAAAATTAAGAAGGAAGGCGAGGCCTAAAATGGGGCTTATATGAACAATAAAATGTATCCAAAAGGTTAAATAGTGTCACCGAGTATTCAAAGTTTAGGCTGTTGGCTTGGTTCTGTAAATGAAGACTGTTTAATAATAATAAAAAAAAACTGTTTACCACAGCCTCCCAAGATTTATTACACTAAAAATCTATTGTTTGTATAGCACCCAGGAGAAGGAAAGCCCAGTCTGATAAGGGCCTCTGAGTGCTAGTGTAATAAAAAAGAATCCATAATTATGGGATGAGGCTCTGGACTGCAGATGTCCATGGAGCCATAAGGCCAGATCCTCAACTGCTGTAAATTTGTTTTAGCTCCATTGACTTCAACTGAACTACAACTATTTATACAAGTTGAGGATCTGTCTAATACTTTTTCTTGCCAATAATGCATCATTCTGCCTCAGGCTGCTGCGCCTGCTGGCGTATTTATTGTCTCACTCTGCTTTAGAGAGGAACATTGTTATTTCTGCTTTGCACATGGTCAGTGTCAAATTATCAAAAGAAGAAAGCATAGTAACTGCATACTCAGCTACATAGGGGCCACACAAATATTTTTCCTTCATTGCTGAGTACTGTACCAGGATACATGTAGCTACCGGTCTGCACTTTAGCTACTATTAATTATTACTATGCTGCTATAAAACGAGAAAAATGTAGAACATATTTTTTTTTTCCTATCTAAGGTACTTTCAGAGTATCAGTCATCATATCTAGCTTATCTGCATGTCAAACTAGCAGGCTGGTTTTCTTGAGATTGATTTTTTCCAAAATGCCAATTGAAAGAAAGAAAACAGCTGGATCATTTTTATGAGAAAAGCAACAAAACAGGACAGTGTAACAGTCTGTATTCAGTGGATTTCTGGTTTTGCCAAGTCTTTATTAATATAACCAGGCAATTAAAAAACAATAAAAAGGTTCCTTTAAGATATACTGTCAAAATATAGTAAAATTCCACCTGCACTTTTACTAAAAATGTTTACTTTGGGAGATAGTTTCTTACGGGAGGCATATTCTGAAATAGTTTGAACTGTGAAATTTTGATTTTTGTGAAATGCTAATCTGGAACATTTGGTTAACATTGATAAATGACATGCTTTGGGTTTTGAATTGTTAATTTAAAATAAATGATGTACTTGTCAAATAAAATCTCCTGTTTTTAAAGCATATTTTCCTTGGCTCTTTGTAGATAGAAATGGTACCAATAAAGTATTTTTTGTTTTGTGTTTTTTTTTAAACAGGGCCTGTTTTTCAAAAATAGCAAAGTTAGGCTCCTAAATCAATGGGTCTGATTTTTCACAAGTGCTGAATAGGTGTGTTTTCCATTGACTTCAGATAAAGTCATGGGTGGCCCAATTATTAGAATTGTTGATCATTACTGATTTACTAATTTCAGTGGATATAAGTTTCATGTTTGTGTCTTGATAATCCACAATCATCATAATGCATTAAGTATTTACGAGTAGCTGTATGAGGGGTAAATAAACATTTTTGCTTGCACACAGGATATTACAAATATTTTAATGCATTCCAGTGAGCTCTATTGTTATAACAGCTTGCTTGAAACAGATTTGTAGCCTATTGCTTTTATAGTAATTTATTTTTGTTTTGGTTTCAATTTGAAGTACTTATCCCTTGCCCTGCCTGCTTTCAGAGAAACTAAAAATGTACAACTACAAAAATAAAAACTATACAAATGCATACTGGACCAACCATACAAAGCACAAAACAACTTGCTCCTAATAATTATACATCTGATCACTTGTTAAGCCCCCCCCCCCCCCCAAAGAAATGAACTTTGTCTAAACATCTGAAGATTAAGCTCCACCTAGCACCTTTCTCTGAAAAGAAGCAAAAGCACTTTTGTATACTAACTACATAGATAAGTTTGTCAGAATTCAATTTTTATTTTTAAATAATTGACAGATTATTTTTATTGATTTAAATTTTCACAGTTGTGGGAAATTATGGGGGGGCAGACTATTTAATGACAGATGTTGAGATTCAAAAAGTTAAAGCTTTGTAACTGTTACACACACAAACTTTTGAAAACTTTGCCATTTAGCAGAATTCAGAAAGAATTGGATGTTATAAGTAACAAGAACATCCAGTTCCAATAAAAAATTAATTTAAAAAAAGCAATTAGATTTAGAAGGGATAAAAAAATCTCATTCTTGAGGGACTAAAACAGCCTTTAATTATTAGGAGTTGGGAAGAAGCTTTCCCTATGGATAGATTATTCCATCTCAGTCTACTAAAAGTTCCTCCAAAGCTTTGGTATGGGATACTGTCAGTGACAGGATATTGGACTAGATGAGCCACTGATCTGAGCCATCATAGTAATTTCTGTTCCTAGGAAAGGAGCAAAGTCTTTTTATCCAACAATTTTTCTTTAGATTTAATTTATTGATATCCCTCATCCTTGTTTTCTCTTGCTTTTTTAGTTTGTCATACTAGCTTACTCATGGGAGGCATTGTAAATGATAGGCAAAATTTACTTGGAGAGTGGTATGGCCACTTGAAGTACTACTTCAACGCAGCTGTTGTTGGAGGGGAGTGCATAATCTGTTTACTAGTTCACAGTAATTCTATTCAGCAGTTTGGAAATGGTCGTAAAGAATACCCTAGTCAATCAAAATCACACAGTGAATGAAGGTAGACAAAATGTAATCTGATTTTTAGAATATGGCAGGACACTGAGCTTAACACCCCCACACTTACAAAAAGGTCCATGATATCTTTCATGACCAAGGCACCAAATCGTACACACATGCTTAACTTTATGCATTATGAGTAACCCCATGTCACTAATCACAGTAAGTAAAATTACATACATGTGTAAGTAAGTCTTTGCAAGATCAGGGCCCAAATAAGATAATCTTCATTTTGTCTCCTCCAAAAGATGCCACTTTCAGCATAAAGAGTCTAAACCAAAGCCCACTGAAATCAGTTGAGTGATTCCCACTGATTTCAGAAGGATTTGGACCAGGCCAAAAAATATTGAAATATGTTATTCTCTCAAATGTTAGGTCTGTAGCAAAGTGTTTACATTCCTTTTAACAATTCTTAGTAGAATATTTAAACAATCACTTTAATTTACTGCTAGCAAAATATTTCTCCTATAAAACCGTGTTTTGGACTCCTTGCCTTCATTACTTAGTTTATTTTGATTTAACATATAAAAATGGATGATCCCTGGCTATAGGTGCTTTGAGAAATCATTAAGGCCAGGATTAAAAAAAAAAAAGTTCCACAGGTTGACTGATGGATACTGCTGGCTTCATAGGTATGAGGCAGGTACGTGGTGGTACAGTAGCTGAGTGAACCACTATTTTGAAGCATAAGAACTGTGGGAGAGGGGGGTACAATGATTATGAATCAAAAAAAATATACTGGGAACAAAGTAGTCAAAAGTGTGCATTCGTAATGGGACTTCATGTGGTCCTAAAGAAGCCAGGATGCACGACTATTTCTGATGTAAACACAAATGCAGCTTGGTATAAATATTTATTATTTAACCTTTGTATAGCCGTAGTGCCTAGATGCCAAGCAGGTCAGGACCCTATTGTGCTAGGCACTGTACATCCCTATAGTAATGCCAGTCCATGCCTCAACCAGCTAAGTCTAAAAGAATAGCTATGTACAGTTGTAAGATTATATAAGGTAGTCTAATAAGATGCATTCTTAATTTTTGCAGTCATTGATAACAGGACATTGACTCTTTCCTGTTCCCCCTTTTAACTTCACTAGAAGTAGGATCAAACTAATGGGGCATGATTCTTCCATTGCAGCATACAAGTAACTCCAACTGAAGTCAATGAGACTTACATATATCCTGTGGGCGTAGACTCTGGCTCATTGTATGTATGTTTCTGGCTGTTCTCACGGAATGATCCAGGACTAGAGTTGTGGTTGTCCAGGGGGCGTTGATTGTACCAGCATATATGTTCTTTGTTTTTGAAGTCTAACCTTAAAAACAAAATTCAAAGTTAGCCTTAAACTAATTTTGCAGTTTTTACTCAAAAAGTTAAAGATAGCTTGTCATCTGGGAATCAACTGCAAACAATCAGAAGTAACATGCAAACAGAAATACAATATCTGTGTTCTACATAGTGTTTTTCCATTCTTTTGTGCATAGCTTTTATTTTTCTACCAAACCTTGTAGTGGATTGTCCCCATTATAATTCACTTTCTAGATCTCACTGTGTACATACAAGAGACATAACAATGCAGGCTTGATGTCAGCTGTGTCTAAAGCAAAACTGCAGCTTTGTGCCTATGTTGTTAGGGACCCAGACATACAGCATTGCATATGTCCTTGCTATATAATATAATTTGGCCACTTATCCCATGTTATTGCAATAGAGTTGCATAGGAGACTTCTAACGTCCACATGAACTCAGCTCAAGGGTTAGAACTAGGAACTTTTTAAAAAATATAAACAGTCTGGTGGGTGTTTATTTTACATGAATTTTCATGCCTTATGAATGTGAGATTTGTTAGCAATGCCAAGATCCAATCACAGGCCCAGGTCCTGCAGAAACTTACACATAGGCCTTATTTTACATATGTAAGTGGTCTCACTGAAGTGAGCGAGACAACTTCATTTAAATTAAGAGTGTGCATAAGTCTTTGCAGGATCAGGGCCTCGGTACAGACAGGTGATTTCCAAGTCTCCCCTCTTTGCTCCAACTTTTGCTAATGCTTCTCAGTCCTCTGTATGATCACCTGTGTCAGGATTCCCTCCCCACTCTGAACTCTTGGGTACAGATGCAGGGGCCCGAATGAAAGACCCCTTAAGCCTATTTCTACCAGCTTAGGTTAAAACTTCCCCAAGGCACAAATTCTTTGCCCTTGGAGGGTACGCTGCCACCACCAAGTGATTTAACAAAGAATCAGGGAAAGAACCACTTGGAGTTCCTATTCCCCAAAAATATCACCCCAAGCCTTTACACCCCCTTTCCTAAGGAGGCTTGAGAATAATATGCTAACCAATTGGTTACAAAACACAGACCCAAACCCCTGGGTCTTAGGACAATAGAGAAATCAGTCAGGTTCTTAAAAGAAGGATTTTATTTAAAAAAAAAAAAAGTAAAAATCACCTCTGTAAAATCAGGATGGAAAATAACTTTACAGGGTAACAAAAGATTCAAAAACACAGCAGAACTTCCTCTAGGCTTAGTTTCAAAGTTACAAAAAACAGGAATAAACCTCCCTCCAGCAAAGGAAAAATTCACAAACAGAACAAAAGATAATCTAACATGCCTTGCCTGCTTTTACATACAATTTTTGTAATATGAGAGACTTTTAGGATGGTTTATAGGAGGAGGAGTTTTCTGACCTGATGCTTCTCCGCTTCCCAAGAAAACACACAAAACAAAGCCTCACTTTCCCCCACCCCCCAAGCTTTGAAAGTATCTTCTTTCCCCATTGGTCCTTTTGGTCAGGTGCCAACCAGGTTATTTGAGCTTCTTAACCCCTTGCAAGTAAGGAGGATTTCTAAGCTGCCCTTAGCTGTATGGTTATAACAACCCATATTCCTATTGCTCACTGAACTAGAAATACAGTTTGCACCTGAGAAAAACGTGGCAGAAAGTTGCAACAGAAATGATTGGGAGAAACCACACTTACACAGAGAGAGTGAGATGAGCCTCTGAATTTATCATCAGCTGGTTGGCAAGTATGGGGGGCTGCAAGTATTTTTAAAAGGCTTCCCTCCAAATATATTTGTCTCTATATTATACAGGCTATGCACATTTGACCTTTTTGTGGCAAAGAGCTGCTGTCAACCAATGGGTATCCAGGCTCAGCAGACAGGTATAAAGGATTACAGGCTAGATGTTTTTCCCTGTGATTTCAAACAATGTTGCAGATTAACTGGTTTCAAAAATGGATCTGTAGGATCAATGAATATGGATAATTCTTGCAACAATTTCCATCTGTTCTAGTACTTTTTGTTTTTGAAGGAATGTGGTATATTGCATATGGTAATGTCAAAGGGGTAATATCGCATTTTGATCAAAGCAGTAATATATTATTGTTCAGGCTTTCTGAAAAAAAAATTATAGACATTGTTTTCTGGCACAGTATCGTTTCCATAGCCGATAAGACGCTCTGTGGTGTTAACATTGCATATTTTTGTCAGCATGTAAAATCTCACAGGATGG